TTGGTCTGACGCATTAGTCTACGTCATCGCAACGCGGTAGACTGTTAAAATTTTTCTTTTTGAGATTTTACAGTGTAAAATTTATGATTAAGATAGCTGTCGCCCGCGATTCCTCCCGCGCGGAATTAAAAATGTGTATGCTAAATTTCATCAAGATCCGTTCAGCCGTTCTGGAGATACCTTCAAAGAAACATCCATCCATCTAAACATTCGGATTTATAATATTACTAAGATTTAAAAGTTTTGCTTACCTAATTTGAGGTCTAGAAAATATTAATAAAGTATTGCATTTTCACTGGGAATAGGGACACTGACGTCACCATGATGTGGGCTAGTTATTCCTCGTTTTTTATGTTAATTTACTTTTATTTCTTTTTGTACGTAATGTTCGTAATTTTTAGCCCATAATTTGGTATAAACTGTAGATTTAAAGTTATGTTGTTTTGTTTAACCTTTGGTCATACAATTAATTTCATAAAACCTAGATTTATTCTTTATTTTTTGTAAAGAAAGAAACTAGGTTTTATGTACTAGAAAAATGTTGCAAGTGTTTTCGGTTATACCTAACTCGTTAACTTACTCGTATAACGTATATGTTCTAATAAGTGAAACCATAATGTATTCATAAAGATCTGGACTAAGGTAAATAAAAATTGTTAGTTACACAATTTATTAGACCTTACTTCCTACTTCTTACTAATCTTATTATCGTACTAATATTATAAATTCGAATGGATGTTTGTTGGAAGATATCTGCAGAACGACTAAACGGATCTCGATGAAATTTGGCATAGATGTAAAACACTGTCTGGATAAACAAATAGGATGTTAATAAACTTTTCGATTAACCGGTCGGGGTCGCGGGCGACAACTAGTAAAACTATAAAGTGAACTAATATTTAATTTTGCAATGCGTTTTGTCATTTATGCATAACAAAACCATTTTATTCGTCTCTTAGGTCTCTTAATACCGGAAAATGTTATGAAATTTATTGCCCACTGTTTATACATGTTAAGCTTTTAATAATATAATGAGTTATTAACATTATACAAGGATTGCAGAATAAACAACTTTGTGTTAAATAATGATAGTGCATGATTTTGTACGCGACGCCGTTGTGTGCTAGTTTGATGATTAAAAAAAATTACATCTTAGGACAAGTTTTTATTAACTTGTATTACTTGATATTACTTTAAATTAATAAAACTAAAAGTCGGAGCCCTATACCAATGAAAATACTTAACTTTGTCATAATCAGCTTACTATACGTCCCCACTGAGAGGCTCGGAGCCTATCCTATAAGTTAGGGGTGACTAGGCCATAGTCATAACCACGCTGATCCAGTGATAGTTGGTTGATTTCTCACACATCTTTGAATTTGTTCTCAGTTATGTGAAGGTTGAATCACGATGTTTCCCTTCACCGTAAGAACGTTAGATAAATGTACATAAGTAAATCGGTAATCGAAATACCCATTGGTATACGGCAGGATTCGAACCTAGGACATACAGATTGCAAATGCTTAACCCCTGAGCTACCGATACTCTTAAAACTCTGTCAATATTAAAAAAATATAACTTAAGATTCTTTAAATGTTATTCGATTGTTATCATATTTAGATGTACCTTTATACATTTATAATGAGTTAACAAATTAGCGGATCGATTTAATTGTTTTCGATGTTACGTAAAGTATTACAGCATACAAGTATTTTGAAGAATTGATTAGTTATAAATGTAATAAAATTAGAACAATGGTTCCATATTATTAGCCATATTATATAGCATTATTAGCCATAGCCATATTGAAAGCGTCAATGGGCTAATGGTTAAGGATACGGATTTCCGATCACGAGGTCGGGGGTTCGAATCCCGCCATTCGACTATTGTCGTAAACCATATCCTAGCACAAGCCTAGAGCTTAGTTGGAATGGTAAAAGAAATATTAGTAAATTTCCAAAAAAATCTGCTAATATTTAAAAAAATATATATATATATATATATATATATATATATATATTCTTATGTATCTGATTAGTTATTTCCGATCTTTGTGTGAATTGAACACTCCTTGACCCTGACTTTATTCCACATAATCTTTGTACTATAAATTAGGATAAAATTTCAAATAAACCTTCGCCTTCTGCGGCATCTATATTGTATTGTCCAGTTCTAAGATAAAGTCGTGGACTAAACACATTTTGTTTGCTCTACATCTGTTCCAATTACTTTTATTTAATTAATGTGTTAGTGTTAAGATTATCTTTTGTTTCGTTAAAACAAACAATATAACTTTACTTCCACAAGGTAAAGGAAGCGTAGTTCTTTTTGTTCATAGTTATATATATTTAACGAATACGTAGGTAGCGGCTTAGCGGGTTAATCTGAGAGCAAATCTGTTGCTATCACAACGATTTGGCTCATAATGTTATCGGTGTACAAATATTTGCAGCATCTCTGTCGGCAGTTACGACCTTGTTCCGCAATGAATCTGTATTAACTTAAAATAACGAACGACTGCAAACAAAGGTATCGTTATTTAGAAAAGAGCTTTAAGCGGTATTACAATTGCAACGTAACTAGGGCTGCAGCGTATTCTTAACATCGATAACCATATTTGGAATTTTGATAACGTTATCATATTAGCTAAACTGTTCTTTATATTTTACCAGTATTTGTTAAGTTGTGTTTAATACTAAATTAGTATACTTTGCTGTTTTTATTTGGATAACGAAGTATTCCAAGGACTCTTTTTGCATGAAGAAATATTTGTAGTTATGTCGTAGATTAGTGATAGTTCCCGGTTGTGATATGTAAATGTAGGTAATAATAATAAGTTCCCGGGAAGATGGCAGCATAATAGTGTTTTGTGTTGCTTGAAAGGGAGCATCCGCTCAACCTGGTAGCGTGTAGGCTGATTGCAGTAGGGCTACTGTGCTTGCTGTTCCTGCCGGAGACACCGTACCAAACGCCGTTGCAGTAATAGATACCCACCAAGAGGGTTTTAGGTTAATAAACCAAACAATGACGCTTCCCCCCAGAAACAATTATTGTTAAGAAATCCCCCTCTAATAAAAAAAGCATATTACATGTATTTTTTTTGTAATGCAATTAGTTTCCTTGCCAATATTCATGTCTTTCTAAGTACTTTCAGAGTTAGTTAAGCTATAAAAATTTAAATAAATGTAAACGTAGTAATATATCGATATTTTTCGCTATTGATATGTAAAATAACATCCCTAACAACTAACAGAACGTGACAAAGTAAATGAGCGTCCCAATACCTTTCTTGCGCGTTTGCATACGTTTTACAATAAAGTGCGCATAATGTTACTGTTAATAAATGATAAGAGATGCTATTGTTGAAGCATTGTTTGGAAGCATGGTTTACTTGTAGTCTGCATGCTCGCGCGTGATGAGATTCAATTGTGGATACTTTTACGTAATGATTTCTAGACAAATAATATTTTTTATTTATGACTTAGATAATTTTTAAGTATAATACTGAATTTTTATCGAATTGAGGAAAATATAACTATCTTACTAATATTATAAATGCGAATATTTAGATAGATGTTTGTTTGTAACTCAAAAACGGCTGCACGGATCTAGATTAAATTTGGCATATAACATAGTTTGGAAGAATACATAGGCTACTAATTATGTTTTTTTTTTTAAATTCTGCGCGGACGGAATCACTGGCAACTGCTATTTTTTTAATATTTTCTCTTAATACTATCCAAAGACTACAAAAATATTTATATTATTTTTGTCTATACACGATACGTTAGAAACCCAAAGTAACTTGACGTAAATGGCTTGCCCAATTTGGTGTGATAATATCACGCGCTAATGAATTTGACTATTTTTCGAATCTATTTGTTTTAATTTTAACATTCCTAAAAATAACTTTAATACGATGTATTAATTTGGTCTTTCAATTGACTACGCCTAAGTGAATTTTCCTTGCGATTTAAAAATATAGTAATAAGCTACTAAGTTCCTCTTTTAGGATTAGGAACAGATCGCTATAACGCGTCATCAAACAAAATACGTAATTATGTAACTAAACTTTTCTTATAATTTAATGTTATCTACTAAAAAATATCGTTATGTATTGACCAATAAGCATATAAAAAGCTTATGCGTACATCCCCTTAAGTTTTCCGGCTATTCTAAAACTGTTTATTTCAAAAACCGAAAACTGCAAAAAACCTTATTATGTAAGTTTATAAATTGTTATAAGGGGATTTATTATTAATTCATATGAATAAAATATATTTATGCTTGGTGTTACATCATCCTGTATCTTTACTTATCGGAGGCAATGCTAGACAAGGTGACTGATCTACACAGCCACCTTAAAGAGGCAGATGGCCTTGAATATGTATATTATTCGCAAATATTTTACACTACATGTAAAATATACTAAACTGTTACGTACTCATACAATATTATCATCAGTAATTTAGAAACTATTTGGCATATGTATTCTTATCTCTTCAAACACGGATATGTTTCAAAAACGAGCAAGTCGCAATAGCACCCTTACCAACAATTAAATATTAAATGGGTGCAAAATGTTAGGAAGAAAATCCGACACTGTGCCGGTGTACTGTCGCAACACTAGCCTTACTAAAATTACGACGTTTATGTCCCCTCACTAATTATTCTGACACTGGACTTTGTAACAAAAGCGCGTCATGGGCGCCATAGGATTCTGACAAATAATGTATAATATTACTCTAGCGATCTAGTGAGGTGCGATTCATAACCAAAATAAAACCATAAACCATAAAGAATCGACTGGTCGATAAGGAAAAAGAAGGGTCTGATGACAGAAATTATGAATCGACTGATCGATTAAATAAACGATAGCCAGTTGTATCGATTCTTCATAAAACAGATCAGTGTATAGAGATGTTGTAATTGCCAGGGTAGTATTTGAACTTGACTTTTAATCGTTGCTTTCTAATGTATGATCAATATATGGTTTCCAGACAGAACCTGGCGTTGGAGTGTCCGTCACTGGAAAAGGGAGATATATACACGCAGTCGGAGTTCCTCTCGCGGCTGTCTCACGAATGCCGCTACGACCGCCTGCTACTGCCCACGTACCAGACCGGTGAAGTGGTCTACGTACACGCGAGTGCTTACGTATACTTTATACAACCCGCTGAAGCACACGATTTGGTAAGACTTTGATTGTTATTTTTTCTTAATAAACGTTGATACGGGACTCATAAATCTTAATTAGTTTTGAAATTCAGAATGGGTCATTGTCGTGCCTCAAATGTCACAATAACATTATTTATAAAGAAAAGAAAATTACTGTGTGTTATGTAGATTTTTTTAAGAAATCCTGAAGGAGGCTTGAGGCTTTTAATTAGAGATTTTTGTTAGGTGCTACTAGCTTTATTTTTGTTTTATGTCGTCTTTACTAATAACTTTCAATTATTCAATCTTTTTTATATAAGCTATTAATGCATACCTGACTTTCATATTTTTCAGAATTTCAAATTGCATTTCCTTCTACAACTTCGCTGGACGGATGCGCGTTTAGCTTACGCGCTCTATTCTCCAGAGCGAACGAAGATTATCGGAGAGAGTGATCTTAGGCAACGTATCTGGGTGCCACACTTATATATGTCCAACGAACAATCGTCAAGCCTTATGGGTACTGATAGCAAAGACGTCCTCATCTCCATAGCACCAGACGGTGAAGTGCTATTCAGTAGGCGTATGCAAGCTGTACTTTACTGCTGGATGAACCTACAAAAGTTCCCCTTCGACGATCAAACATGCTCTATGAATCTTGAAAGTTGTAAGTGTTATTTAATTTAAAATGTACTTTAAATTGAGACAAGAACAGGCGTTAACTCATGTGATATCCTTATGCAAACAGAAACATCCCAGAATATTGTCTACTATATTGGTTTTATCAGAATAATTTGATGTTTTTAGTTGAAAAATGATTAAATCTATTAGAGAAGCAAAGTACACGGTATGACATAAATTAGGAATAGAAGGAAACAATTTTTATAGTGTAATTCTAAAACAATATTCAATAACAATATCAGAAAATTTTCGATTGCAATCTCTATGAAATCTATAATCGAAAATCGAAAAAATTCTTAATCGATTTTACTCAACCTATGTCTAGTGAATAGTCAAACTAATCTATCTTAAGTACTATCGAGGGTAGTTTAGATTTATAATAATTAAAATGTTTAATTCTATTTCCAGGGAAATATAACGCTTCGATACTTCGTCTAATGTGGGAGAAGGACAATCCAGTTCGGCTATCATCAGAATTACATTTAACAGAATATTCGCTATTAGATTACTGGACGAATGAATCAGTCGTACGAGGCGATATTGTGAACATGCGTTTGGGAGGAGGTAGATGTAATGTCTTTTATGTGTTAGTGCCGTTTGTCTTATTGAAGCGCGGCTTAAAGTAGACTGTTTATTCAAATATTTATTGCATTTCAGCTGGAAACTACAGCGCCCTTAAGTTTACATTTAAATTGGGACGTGAAGTTGGTTATTACCTGATGGATTATTTCATACCTTCCATGATGATTGTTGCGATGTCATGGGTTACATTCTGGCTACAGGCAGATGCCTCCGCTCCGAGAATTACTTTAGGTATGTATTTAACATGTTCAAATCCTATAAAATACAAAACAGTGAATACTGGACAAACCCGCAATGGGTTTATAGATACTTTTATTGTAACGTGTATATTGTTCCTTGTTTATTTATATAATATATGTTATATTTATATAAATAAAATAAAAAATACTAAAACTCCATAAATCAATTTCTTTGTTAACGCTTATTCGCTATATTACTTTCGTTCGTGTTTATTAACGTTTATATATTTTATTTCAGGAACAAGTACAATGTTATCATTCATTACCCTGGCTTCATCTCAAGCGAAGACCCTGCCGAAGGTTTCATATATAAAAGCCAGTGAGATTTGGTTCCTCGGCTGTACTGGATTCATCTTCTCAGCTCTCGTGGAATTCGCCTTTGTTAATACTATTTGGAGAAGAAAGTAAGCACTTGTTATAATTTAAGTGTCCCTTAAAATTAAACAATAATTACATGGTAAAGTAAAAGTGCATACAACTTACTTAATAAAAAAAATCAAATAAAGGCCGAGCTTGTGCAGTATAAAATAAATTTACTTAAATAAAACTGCTTACAATTCGAATAATGAACATTACTAACATAAAGAAATGATCGTAACATATTTCTATCAATTTACAGGAAAGTAGTAAATTTGAAAAAAGTGAATAGCAAGTACATATTGAAGAGCACATTAACGCCGCGGCTGGCACGGCGCGAGCTGCAAAAGGAGCTGCAGGCGTCGCCACAGCTCAGCAAATCGCGATCCTGTTCCTCGCTGCAGCAGGAGACAAGCAGTGACCCTGCTGGACCAGGCTACAACAACTACCTCACTGTACACGTAAGTCATTACTTCTATTTATTTGTAAGCATCAGTTTGAACGCAATGTCTTTTTGTGCATCTCCTCCTAGATCGATTAAATGTAGGCTAAAATCTGTACTTGTGTTGGATATCTATTGATAGCGGGACCGATTATCATTTAGGATTCTTTTTGTACGGCTGAAAATATATCTGATTGATGTATCGAATAGGTTTAAAAATTATAACTTACCTCATTCGCAAGGTTAAGGCTACCAATGAGTTATTTATTTACCAATAAATTGACTCAGTGCACGATGCTTAATTGATAAAATTTTGTGATGTTTGAGGTCGGTTAGATAATAAATTTTAACTAAGTCGTTTTTCTTGATTTCAAGCAACTGGATCGGGATCATGGGAGGTATTTTAATATTTTAGTCCAGTTTTATTACGTTTATAATTAATTTTTTAGCAATCATAATCGTGAAGGGAATTATTTTTACGCAAAGAATTGACTGAAATATTCCAAATTTTAGGCAACAGGAATATAATAAAATACTGATAATTTATTCCTTTTCTTTCAAATTTAGGGGTGTCAGTAATTAATTTAAATGATGTTCAGGGTTGTTACTAATATATATATATATATATATATATAATAAAATATTTCAGAGTTTCCCGTCAGCCCTGAACTTGCCGACTATAACGACGCAGAGCTACGACGACTTGATAACAGGGCAAGGGGGTCAAAGAGCGGGAGGCAGCGAGGGGTCAGACGAACCCCCCAAGCACCACACGTGGACAACAATGACCCCACAAGAGATCGCCACATGGATCGACAAACGTTCGAGAATCTTATTCCCTTTAATGTTCATCTTCTTCAATATCGTTTACTGGACTTTTGTTTACTGCCTGTGATCATGAACTTTATTTCTTGTGTTTTATTTAAAAGATGCTGGATATCTCTTCGTGCCTTGTAAATGAACAAGTGTGTCTGACTGCAGAACCCTTGTACTAATTCAGTCATAAAACAATCTTAAGAAATCATTCTAGAAATAATCCCTACGAAAATACTATAGAGTAATAAATAATAGAACGAACGAATTTGATATGATGTCTTCTTGACAATTAAATTTGATTTTTTAGTGTAAAAAAAGAAAGACGAAATGTGAGACGTAAACGAAGCGCTAGTAAAAAGCGTACATTTATTTTTAAGCTATTATATTTATATTTTATCTTATAAGTCGTAAGTACGAGTACTTGTTGATCTTGACTTTATTTAAGATGACTAATATAAATTGAATTGACGGTATAAGATTTGCTCGATTTATAAATTGTTTCATAAGCATTTATGAGGATGCCTTAAGCGTGAAATATATTGTTAAATTATTTTTGATTTTTATACGAATGTCCAAAATTTGAATATAAACATTGTGACATTTGATTAACATTGATAAAGTAAAATGTTGCCACCATTTAAAATATGTCTATGTCTAAAAATTATAAATACTTAAAAAAATATTTAAATATTCTTGTTACGTATATCGTAGACGTATTTAAATTATAACAATCGAATAAAATAATGAACTATATAATAAGTTAACCTGTAGTTAGTTTTTTTTTTTTAATATTTTTTTATGACTTAAGTTCAGTTGTAGTATTGAATAGCCAAATTCATTCTAGTTCGTATGTCTTTTAACAATAATATAGTCAAATTATTTTATTTTTAGTCAATATATTTATTTTTTAGGAAAAAAACAAAATAATTAATAAGTTAATATTGTGTTAAGTAAGTTTTAGTCAAATTATTAGATCTTTTACAATTTCATTTTGTACATACCTGTTATATGTTAAGTATAGTAACATATCATAGAAATATGATTCGTTTCATTGTGAATAAAATATAAGTTATGTCTAAAGCCTTAATGTTTTATTACTTTACCAATAATTGTTGCTCTTAATTAATTTAAATTCTTAAACTCTAGTTAATTAATTTTCGTTGTGACCCGCGATTCCATCGAGCGTATTAAAAAAAACATTAATACGTATGTCTTCTTCCAGACTATGTTCTACATCTGTGCTAAATTTAAAGATCCGCTGAGCCATTTTGGAGATACCTTCAAACACATAACCATCCATCCACCTAAACATTCGCATTTATGATATTAGTAAGATTATTGGCTTTTCTTGATTTTAGTGTACATATCCTGACATCCCTTGTCTGATAGAAATCGCTCTTACCAGTAAGGCCGTTCTTTCATTTGTTTGTATATTGTAATGTGAGCAATAAAGTGTTTATCTATCTTCATGGCAAATCTTATAAACAAAATACAGGTAATATTTTTCAATCTATTATTACATACCTTGACACAAAACTTTGTAATTATCATATATGAGTACATGCACAAAATATTATCAGGAAAATGAATTATTACAAAGAAAAGAAATTAGCGGCATCAAAAAGTTAAGACTTTTTGATGCCGCTAATTTCTTTTCGTTCGTTCGTTCGGATTTAGTTTAATAAAACAAATAATATTTGTGACAATCAATCTCTTTATTTAACGAAATGTTCAAAACATTATTCATATAAATTTAAAATTATGACAAAACACAAACTTCAACATTACATTTAAAATAAATATTTGTTTAACTCAAATAATGATGACTAGAACACGCGATAGTTCTGGTCCGTTCACACCGATCGGGGTGAAGAACAGAGCAAATTTTCATCGCAAGTAATATTAAGCTTTAAACCATTGAAACAAGGTCTAATTTTACTTTTCACTTTCTTTACCATTGCTCTTGAAGTGCAAAGTATAGTAAACCTTGTTTCAATTTCATAAAGCTTAATTTTATTTGCGATAAATCTCCTCTGCTCTCAGCTTCGGTCTGTATGAACGAACCCTGAAACGTTTAACTGCAAACCAGAATACACGTTATTTTTACTCTTTTGATCTAAATGAGGTCTTAAGGAGTTACATACATATTATGAAATCACGTATTGAAAATTCCAGAACACAACACTCGCTGGGAGAAGGCGTCAAGTCAAAATTGATTCACATAGGACAATACGTATACGATGTATACCAACTTCACACATCAATACGATTGACCTTAAACTGTGAGTTTCAAGGAACTAGTGGTCTCAAATTTAATCCATCTCTCATATCCGGATGTCTCAAGGTGCCGCTTCGCTTCGACGAGGTGCCGCGATAACCAGGCTGTCATCACTCGCGTATCGCTTTAATGTCGATGCACTAGCGTTACTGAAATAAGAAAAAACTGTTAACGGCGAGAAAAATCCTTGAACAATACAATAATAGTTTAACACTCTCTTGTTCTTTAAACAGGCTGCATATACAGGCTGATAGAACTTGCAAAATGTCGTCGATAATATTGCCAATTGGTAGACACCACAACAATCGTTTGAATATCTATATAATGGCGGTTTTTCACCGTTATACTTAGAAGTAAATAAAAAATACTCTTAATGCAGTGAAAATTACAAATTGCTGCGGCAAGACATACAACACATAGTTTGATAACGATATCCATATTCATCGGTGTACAACGAAAGTGTTTATATCTCTTACCGTTGGTTTCAGAGACCAATATCTCTATAAAATTACCGACATTCCTTTGACAAAATAGAGTTAACAATTATGTTTTAAATGGTGGTTTTGGTCTCAGAAATCCACGGTTAGAGATCTCATGAGATGGTATATTTCCTTGCATGAATTTTCACATATTTTACTAGGCGTCTACAAAATACCTGTACTTAGTGCGTGGGCGCGGTGTAGGCGCTAGTCGCGGCAGGCGCGCTTCGATAGGTACGGTGCCTCCCGAGCCCGAACTGGAGCCTCGCGCGGACCCACTAGAACTGCCTGACCAGCCCAACTCCGACATGCTACTGTTATATTAGAATTTACTTTTGGTATTATTACAGTTACTGCTAATGATGAATTAAATTGACGATTAACAAGTCTCTAAGAAAAAAAAATACAGTCGAATTGTTAACCTCCTTTTTGAATTCAGCTAATTAGACGTCAACTATGATATAGAATATTTCACAAACATAGACACTTAAGTGTTTAATAAAAGTCTCTTTAAATATGATATTCCTTCGTAGTAAATTTTACTTTCAACTTAATACTTTGTAATTCAAAAGTTCAAGGATCAAAGAGTATACTATTCAACTTTGTAGAAGTTTTCGCTTTCAGATCACAAGTCAGTGAGGTCGTGTGCCAACTTAATATTCTTTGCACCGTACATATTACATGTCCGAATTCATTCATACGAATGGGTATTGTTTGGTTGCCTACATTGATGGTGGGTCATTAAGATACGTGATACGATTAAACGTTGCGATTAATACAACCTTGTTACTAATCTATAGATATATTAATAATCTAAGCAACAAGAACCTCATATAATTATAAGGTCGCGGAAAATAATAAGTCGTTTCCAGCCTGTAATCTGTTAAAAGTGTTTTTTTTATTTTTAATTTACTGAAAGCGTTAAAATTCGAACTCCTTTAGTATACAAAAACATTGACGTTTGACGCATTGATAATGATGAGTCGACGATTACGTTTCAAAATATTCACAAAGGAAATGTAATAATGTGTGACCTGGCGGAGATGGGCGGCAACATGTAGGGCGGCGTGTAGATGTCGTTGGTCTCTGTGTAGGTGGAGGCGTGGATCTCCTGCTGGTACAGCTCGTACAGCTGCGCCAGCTCCGGCTGGATGCCCACTCCCACTTCTATACGATCAAAAAAGAAATCTAGTCAACCTCTTCGCTCGTGGACCTCAAAACCAACTTGCTCAAATTAATATTTACGTTTAATAGACGTAGAATTGATTGATGTCCAGTTGGTTACGTTCCATAAGTATAAATTCACCATGCTTCGCATTTCTATCATAGAATACCTTCAAGGGCACGTCGTTGTCTGGTAATAATCTCGTCGGTAAGCCGTCGTTGGGCGTCGCGTCGCTGCAGCGCGAGGTCGCGGCGACGTAAGTCATGGGCTCGCGCCGCCCGTTCGCCCTGCAGCGCTAGCTTGTCCGCCTCCAGCTCGTGCACTCGACACACCAGCGCCAGCACCTCCCGCTCAGGACCGTTGCCGATGTGAGCCGGCAACTCCTGAAACAATATTTAATCAGATATATTTTTTCAATTTAATGCTGCTATACAGTCTCTTACATTTCCATTATGTGTTAGGTAGTTGCTAAGCCGACCTGTTCCAGTTGTGCCCCTCGTAGTCGTACTTGCTCAAGCTGACGCTCGACGCGCGTGCGCTCGCTGCGGGCGGCCTCCTGCTCGCGCTCCACGGCCGCGAGCTCCGCCCACGCTTGCTCCACAGCTACCTCCGCCTCCGCGCGCTCACCCACACTAGACACGCTGGAGGCCACGGACGCGCCCGTACCTCCCCTACAGAATGCAACATAAATCGACCATTATAGATGTATGGTTTCCTGATGGTAGTAGGGTTGAAAGTTGGAAGTTTATCCTGTGATAGAGATAAGCTGAATCAAAAAATTTGGCGGCTGTTTAAATCACAATAATATACATGAAAGCTGCGTCGTATTTTCTCATCTTAATTCATTGTCGTTGTCAATGTAAGTGTCGCCTTTTTGGGGTTTAATGTATCATAATTGAACAAAGAGTGATAGAGTGATCTGAACCTATAAAAACATGCCAAATTGTCATAAATAATACCTCAAATCACACCTTTGTGTTCCTTAATTTTAATTTTAATTCCTTAATTTAAGTACTACGAACCTGTAACTTTGCTGTGTGCTAAGCCTGGTGCCGATACTGACGGGCTTGTAAAGCCTGTTGAACCTCGCCTCCCAGTGCGAGATGGCGGCGTGCTGGCGCTCGGCGTCCAGCGCCAAACCCAACAAGTGACTGTCCAATTCCATGAGACGCCGCCGTAGTCGCATCTGCTGCTTGAACGTCGACACGATAGCTTCGCGTAATGATTTCAAGTGTGACGCATTCGCGGGCTCTTCTTCATTTGTTTCATTCCCCTCTATCTTCTGTTCTTCTTTGTTCCTGCTACAATAAATGGATAATTATATTAAGGCAAATGTTGTATCCAAAAAATATTTGGAATTTTTTGGATTATGCGTTCCGGAGGCCTAATTCTAGTCCTCCTTCCCTTCTCACCCATTTCTTATAAGGAAAGGATGGGAAGGGGAAGGAGGGGACATGGAGATGCATGACAAGAGGAAAAATTCCCTTTTTAGCGTGTCCTCCCCCGTCGATTAAAGTTAGATAACTCATCTGCAATTGCGAATGTCCATGGGTAGCGGTCGCTTCGCCATTTCGGCGTATTCAAGTGGCTCCTTAT